AGGGGGCGTGAGCGGGAATGAGTTTATCGACCATTATCACGGCAATGTGAGATCGATCACATGATCCAGCCGCTTCTCCATATTGCAGCGGCCTTCGCAAATCGTAGGAGACGCTCGGTTTTCGCCTGAAATACGACCTTAAATGCAGTCTTTGGGTCGAATTTATGTCCAGTGTCCACTAGGTTCTTCGTGATTGAACTCTTGGGTAGTTTATTTTCCGCCTTGTTCAGCTGACCGCGCTACCACTTGCCTTTGCGTGCGCCCGATGTATATTCATCCGCAACTAAACGTAAACTCATAAACACAGTTTGATATGGCGTGCATAGGCAAAATGTATTTAATTGGTCGAAATGGAATAGCCTTTGTTGTGCTTATATACAACAATTTAGCGACGGGGTAAGTTCTTTCAATCGTACATCGAAGCCTTCGTTTTATCACATTGGAGACATTATCATCCTTGAAAGGGAGGGAAATACTCACTGGCTTTTTGGCACCCATATTTAAGGAGTATTTTCTTATTTGCGGTTGCGATACTTATCAATGAATTTCTCCGAATAGTCGTTTCCAAGAAACACTTTCTTGAGAAAACTCATCTCTTCATCGATCGTATCTGAAGAACAGATTCTAGCGGCTCTATCGAAGAGGCACAAAACCAAGTTTTCCTATGAATTGGAACGAAACTAAGAAAGTGCATATATTGTAGTCGCGGATGCAAATACATCGAACGCACGCAAAGGCAATTAGCAACGCGGTCAGCTGAACATATGCCAAAGTGATTGCTCAGGGCGGATAATAAACTACCTAAGAGTTCCAAATAGCGCAGGTTTCGATTTGTTTGGACTGTTTGGAAGCTGCCTACATACGGCGGGAAAAACCCGGCCTATGCAAGCAGCTTGACCATGTAGTCAATCTCCAATTACCCTGGTAATTGGTCACTTAGTTTTAATCCCCAAGGGATTTTCATTAACTTCCCTCAACCCCCTTCCTTCCTACGTTGATTTAATGCAGTATCCTTTACCTGATCATCATTGAAACTGAACTATGCTGCTCGCTTTTACGCCATTCATTCTGTTAAATTTCAAACTGTTGCATGTTCTCTTCGTTATCATCATCATGCAGCGACAAGGTGCAGCTGAGAAACTGTCACGAACTTTATTGACGTCAATAAATCCTGCCGTATACGCCTGTTTTAAATTTGTACCG